TCAGAACCTGTTATTGGTCTATTCAGGGATTCAGCTTCTTCCTGGTTTAGTCTTAGAAAGGTGTATGTGTCTAGGAATTGATCCATTTCTTCTAATTTTTCTAGTTTATTTGCATAGAGGTGTTCATAGTATTCTCTGCTGGTAGTTGTATTTCTGTTTGTATTTCTGATAGCCCTTTATCATTTTTTATTGTGTCTATTTGATTCTTCTGTCTTTTCTTCTTTATTAGTCTTGCTAGTGATTAGTCAATTTTGTTGATCTTTTCAGAAAACCAGCTCCTGGATTCATTGATTGTTTGAAGGGTTTTTGTGTCTCTATCTCCTTCAGTTCTGCTCTGATCTTAGTTATTTCTTGCCTTCTGCTAGCTTTTGAATGTGTTTGCTGTTGCTTCTCTAGTTCTTTTCATTGTGATGGTAGGGTGTCGATTTCAGATCTTTCCTGCTTTCTGTGGTGGGCATTTAGTGCTATAAATTTCCCTCTACACACTGCTTTAAATGTGTCCCAGAGATTCTGGTACGTTGTGTCTTTGTTCTCATTGGTTTCAAAGAACATCTTTATTTCTGCCTTCATTTCGTTATTTACCCAGTAGTCATCCAGGAGCAGTTGTTCAGTTTCCATGTAGTTGTGCGGTGTTGAGTGAGTTTCTTAATCCTGAGTTCTAATTTGATTGCACTGTGGTCTGAGAGACAGTTTATTGTGATTTCTTTTACATTTGCTGAAGAGGGCTTTACTTCCAACGATGTGGTCAATTTTGGAATAAGTGTGATGTGGTGCTGAGAAGAATGTGTATTCTGTTGATTTGGGGTGGAGAGTTCTATAGATGTCTATTAGGTCCACTTGGTGCAGACCTGAGTTCAATTCCTGGATATCCTTGTTAACTTTCTGTCTTGTTGATCTGTCAAAGGTTGACAGTGGGGTGTTAAACTCTCCCATTATTATTGTCTGAGAATCTAAGACTCTTTTTAGTTCCCTCAGGACTTGCTTTATGAATCTGGGTGCTCCTGTATTGGGTGCATATATATTTAGGATAGTTAGCTCTTCCTGATGAATTGATCCCTTTACCATTATGTAATGGCTTTGTCTCTTTTGATCTCTGTTGGTTTAAAGTCTGTTTTATCAGAGACTAGGATTGTAATCCCTGCTTTTTTTGTTTGTTTGTTTGTTTTCCATTAGCTTGGTAGATTCCTCCATCCCTTTATTTTGAGCCTATGTGTGTCTCTGCACATGAGATGGGTCTCCTGAATACAGTACACTGATGGGTCTTGACTCTTTATCTGGTTTGCCAGTCTGTGTCTTTTAATTGGAGCATTTAGCCCATTTACATTTAAGGTTACTATTTTTATGTGTGAATTTGATCCTGCCATTATGATGTTAGCTGGTTATTTTGCTCTTTAGTTGATGCTGTTTCTTCCTCGCATTGATGATCTTTACAATTTGGCATGTTTTTGCAATGGCTGGTACCGGTTGTTCCTTTCCATGCTTCCTTCAGGTGCTCTTGTAAGGAAAGCCTGGTGGTGACAAAATCTCTCAGCATTTGTTTGTCTGTAAATAATTTTATTTCTCCTTCACTTATGAAACATAGTTTGGCTGAATATGAAATTCCGAGTTGAAAATTCTTTTCTTTAACAATGTTGAATATTGGCCCCCACTCTCTTCTGGCTTGTAGAGTTTCTGCTGAGAGATCCACTGTTAGTCTGATGGGCTTCCCTTTGTAGGTAACCTGATCTTTCTCTCTGGCTGCCTTTAGCACTTTTTCCTTCATTTCAACCTTGGAGAATCTGACAATTATGTGACTTGTGGTTGCTCTTCTCAAGGAGTATCTTAGTGGTGTTCTTTGTATTTCCTGAATTTGAATGTTGACCTGTCTTGCTAGGTTGGGGAAGTTCTCCTGGATAATATCCTGAAGTGTGTTTTCCAACTTGGTTCCATTCTCCCGTCACTCACTTTCAGTTACACCAATCAATTGTGGGTTCGGTCTTTTCACATAGTCCCATATTTCTTGGAGGCTTTGTTCATCCCTTTTCATTTTTTCTCTATTGTCTTTACGCTTTATTTCATTAGGTTGATCTTCCATCTCTGATATCCTTTCTTCTGTTTGATCGATTTGGCTATTGATACTTGTGTATGCAATCATGAAGTTTCTCATGCTGTGTTTTCAGCTCCATCAGGTTCATTTTATGTTCTTCTCTAAACTGGTTATTCTAGTCAGCAGTTCCTGTAACCTTTTTATCAAGATCTCTTAGGTTCCTTGCATTGGTTTTAGAACATGTTCCTTTAGCTTGGAGGAGTTTGTTATTACCTACCTCCTGAAGCCTACTTCTGTCAATTCGTCCAAATTCATTTCTCTGTCCAGTTTTGTGCCCTTGCTGCGAGAGTAGTTGTGATCATTTGGAGGAGAAGAGGCATTTGGTTTTTGGAATTTTCAGTATTTTTGCGTTGGTTTTTCCTCATCTTTGTGGATTTATCTACCTTTGATTTTTGATGCTGATGCGTTTTTGGATGGGGTTTCCTGTTTGTGTCCTTTTTGTTGAGGTTTATGTTATTGCTTTCTGGTTTGTTAGTTTGCTTCTAACAGTCAGGCCCCTCTTCTGCATGTCTGGCTGGAGTTTGCTGGAGGTCCACTCCAGATCCTGTTTGCCTGGGTATCACCAGTGCAAATATGCTGCCTGCTACTTCCTCTGGAAGGCTTCGTCCCAGAGAGGCACCCACCTGATGCTGGCCAGAGCTCTCATGTATGAGGTCTGTCGACCCCTGTTGGGAGGTGTCTCACAGTCAGGAGGCATAGGGGTCAGGGGCCCATTTGAGAGGCAGTTGCCTCTTAGCCAAGCTCGAATGCTGTCCTGGGAGATCCACTGTTCTTGTTAGAGCCAACAGACAAGAACATTTAAGTCTGCTGAAGCTGTGCCCCACAGCTGCCCCTTCCCCCAGGTGTTCTGTCCCAGGGAGATGGGAGTTTTATCTATAAGCCCCTGACTGGAGCTGCTGCCTTTCTTTCAGATATGCCTGCCAAGTGAGGTGCATCTAGAGAGGCAGCCTAGCCCCAGGGGCTTTGCTGTGCTGCAGTGAGTTCTGCACAGTCAGAGTTAAACACTGTTAGGGGGAAAACTGCCTACTCAAGCCTCAGTAATGGCAGATGCCCCTCCCCCCACCAAGCTCGATCATCCCAGGCTGACTTCAACTGCTGTGCTGGCAGTGGAGAATTTCAAGCCAGTGGTTCTTAGCTTTGCTGGGCTCCATGGTAGTGGTACCCGCTGAACGAGACCACTTGGCTCCCTGGGCTTCAGCCCCCGTTCCAGGGGAGTGAGCGGTTCTGTCTTGCTGGGGTTCCAGGCACCACTGGAGTAGGAAAAAAAATTCCTGCAGCTAGCTCAGTGTCTGCCTGAACAGCCGCCCAGTTTTGTGCTTGAAACCCAGGGCCCTGGTGGTGTAGGCACACAAGGGAACCTCCTGGTCTATGGGGTTGCAAAAACCATGGGAAAAGCGTAGTATCTGTGCTGGATAGCACGGTCCCTTATGCACCGTCCCTTGGCTAGGGAGGGGAGTCCCCAGCTCCTTGCGTTTCCCAGGTAATGCGATGCCCCACCCTGCTTCTGCTCGTGCTCTGTAGGCTGCACCCATTGTCTAGCCAGTCTCAATGAGATGAACCAGGTATCTCAGTTGGAAATGCAGAAATCACCCGCCTTCTGCATTGGTCTCACTGGGAGCTGCAGACTGGAGCTTTTCCTATTCAGCCATCTTGCCACAGCCTATGAGTCTAGATCCAATTTATAGAGAATGGATGTATTTATAATTTTGAGTTTTTCAATTAATGACAATAAATGGTATGCTGGTAAAATGGCTCTCTGTAAAACACCACCACTTGATTGTAGCATTTTTCAACTTCCGTGATGTAAATTGTCTCACCATGGCTTGATTTCCAGTAATAATCCATTTAGAATCAAGTTCACAAAACTCCTGAATATTTAACAATCAGTTGTCATGAGCCAATTCATATTGGTGGCACATCATTAAAATGGTCATCACTAAGTTTATTTTGGTCAACTTGATTTTCTTTTTTATTAGATTTACTCCTAGGTCTTTTTACTTTGTATGTAATTGTGAATGGATATATTTATGTCTATATAATATAGCATTATTGCTGAGTTATGTTTTTCTAGGACTTTATACCTTTTTTAAATATTCAAACTAATTACATAATGTTTATAATATCTTCCTATTATCTTTAGGTATCTGTAGGAACTGTAGTGGTCTCATTTGTCATTGGTTATGTTTTCTCCTTTTTTTCCTTTGTCAATCTTAGTACAGGTATCTATCAACTTTGTTTGTGTTTTGTTCCAAAACACAACTTTTTTCTGTGTTCATTCTCTCTATGTAAGGTTTGTTTTTTGTTTTCTGTAATTCCTGCTTTTGTCTTTATTATTTATTTTCTTCTACTTTCGAGAGGTTTAATTTGCTATTTTTCTCTAACTTTTTGAGATAGAATCTTAGATTATTAGTCTTTTTATCTTTTTTAGCATAGCATTTAAGACTAAATTCCCCTGTCAGCACATCTTTACCTGATTCCACAAGTTTAATATGTAATATTATCATTGTCAAGATATATTCTAACTTTGTAGGATTTGTTTTTGACCAGGAATTATTTTAAAATGCACTTACTGATTTCCAAATATATGGGAGTTTTCTTTAGTAATCGTTTACTACTTGATTTCCAGTTTAATTCCCTACACTAGGTAACACATTTATTTGTACCAATTGTCTTTGCCATTATGCTAATTTAAAATGCACAAAGCTTTATATATCTGTGTGCAATATTATTTTATAACCATCACTGTGGGAACACTTCTTTTACTAGGGTTGAAGGAATACTATTCATTCTCTGTATCTGCAATTGACTGCTTATTGTTTAATAAATACCATTATTTGCCTTAATTCTGCTTTCGTAATTTTAAATTACAATATTTTTAAAATTTTTATTTTTCTCTATGTTTTTTGTTTTGAAGGAGGAGAAGTTGACTTCAATGACCTGGAAAATGTCCTGCAAAATATGGGGATAGAGCTCACATCTAGAGAACACTTGGAGCTAGAGAAATTACTTCCAATTGATGGTGAGCATTTCAAATAGTAGTTTTCAGGCAAGTTGGTGTAGTCATCAAGGGAGTTATTCCACATTACACATATCAGTAGAGTCTTGAAATAGGACTATATCCTCAAAATTTATATTATCCAACAACCTATGTTTGTTGTACATTGTTTATAAATTAGGGATTTTAAATATTCATAATTTCACAGGTAACTATTTTTAATATTTAGGAATATAAAAATTGTCTAATAAAATATACATAACCATAAATCTTGTCATCCGGGCTAAGGAATTAATATTGATGGTTATCTTTCATTCTATTGAGATGTGTTGAGTTAAGACCTATAGGAAACAGGAGGAGGAGATGGAAGAGGAGGAGGAGGAGAAACGTATAGATGTATAGGAGCTGTGGAGAAAAAAAGAGTAAAGTCAGAAAAGGTGTACTTTTTTTACTTTATCCTAGTTGATATTAATAATTTTCTCAGATGCTAAAGAATTGACAGATTTACCATATTAACAATTTTGTCTACATTTTAATTTTATTATTTTAGAAGATATTAAGTAAATTTTAAGAGCAAATTATTTTATGGTCTGTATTTCTGAACTTAGAGATTTTTATATTGCTATTGCATATATAGTTATTTTCCATATGACGTAAATTACGTATTTTCTTTCAGCTAATGGAAAAATATATAAGAATAGGTTGCTGAATTGTGTGAAAGGTATAAAAGGTAAGCGATATGCAAATTGAGAAAGAAGATTAATTGAGGTACTTGTGTTATGGTTTTTGTTTCTTCCTCACCACGAAATTTGCTATCAAACTCACGTATATCTTCATAATTATTTTAATACATATACATGTTCACATTGGTTTAATAATTTCCTGTGTTTTATTTTTAAAGTTATTCTACCTATCTTAGATTTTTCTCAATTTTGGCTGTGGAAATAATAAAATTAGTCCTAGGTATCAAAATTTTAGAGAAGCTAATATATCTTGAGATACAGTGAGCAAACAGAACCTTAGTTGTATGGATACTTATATTAAAAACTATTTAAAATTTGCTATTTTTCTGCTATAAATAAACTGAGTGGTTTATCAACTTTCAACATGCTATTTATGTGGGCTCATTTGGATATTGGATGTAAATGAACAGATTGATTTTAGTTCATTAATGGCCCTCTTTAAATACTTAAGTGTCCCTGGGCTCTTCTTTATAATGAATTGATAATCATGATACATAAAAATTGGTATTTATTACATTTTTACTTTTGTTTCAATGTCTTCATGTCTTCCTCTTTTATAGAGTTGCAAGTCAATGTTCATGACATTGACAGTATACTCGGAAACATGGCATTCAAACTCACAGCTGAGGAACTTAATGATCTAACCCCAAATCTACCAGTGAATGGTGAGAAACTTAATAGCTTTGCACCCTCAAGAGAATTTGGATTCTTAATAGCTTTGCACCCTCAAGAGAATTTTGGCTGATATTTTTGATAGTACTTATTTGGCTTAGATGAGAATGATTTTTTTCTCTTAATATATTAATCTAAAGTTGGTACTTTTAAATTTTTCATTCATTCACTCATTCATTTGTTTAACAATTTTTTACTAAGCGCTATATATCAGGTGCTATGCTAAGTGCCAGAGATACAGTGATAAGCAAAAATAGACATAGTCGGCTGGGCACGGTGGCTCAAGCCTGTAATCCCAGCACTTTGGGAGGCCGAGACGGGCGGATCACGAGGTCAGGAGATCGAGACCATCCTGGCTAACACCGTGAAACCCCGTCTCTACTAAAAATACAAAAAAAAAAAACTAGCCGGGCGAGGTGGCGGGCGCCTGTAGTCCCAGCTACTCGGGAGGCTGAGGCAGGAGAATGGCGTGAACCCAGGAGGCGGAGCTTGCAGTGAGCTGAGATCTGGCCACTGCACTCCAGCCTGGGCGACAGAGTGAGACTCCGTCTCAAAAAAAAAAAATAGACATAGTCTTTGGCTTTATGGGGCCTAATGTAAACAATTCTTAGTGTACCAAGAGTAGCTGAGAAGTTGCCAGGGCCTTAGTCAGATCAACAGTTTTCATAGGAACTAGAGCTACCAGAGTTTCAGGCGATATGTACATTTTCCCTACTTATTTATAGGCGTGGATTTTCAAATTCTTGAATCAAATTTCATGAATCAAGGACAGAATTGCCTGTCTTGAAGGAAAAATTGAATTAGAATTGAAGTGTGGTAAATCACAAAGTAATCTCTAATTTAAAGGGACTAAATAGAATATATTAAGCTAGACACAGTCCAATGAGACAAAACAGCATTCCCTAGGAACATTTTACTGAACACTGTCTCTTACGATAAAAATGTTTGTTCACATGATTTGCATGCCATTTAGTTATAACTTTGCCATGGATTTTGCATACTGTTTCACCGTTGCCCTATGGTAAACTCATTCCCCAAATATATCTTTATCAAATCATTGCTTCCTTCTTCAGTACTATTGATGTACTAGGTTTTTTTTTTTTTTTTTTTGAGACGGAGTCTCACGCTGTTGCCCAGGCTGGAGTGCAGTGGCGCGATCTCGGCTCACTGCAAGCTCCGCCTCCCGGGTTCCCGCCATTCTCCTGCCTCAGCCTCCTGAGTAGCTGGGACTACAGGCGCCCGCCACCGCGCCCGGCTAATTTTTTGTATTTTTAGTAGAGACGGGGTTTCACTGTGGTCTCGATCTCCTGACCTTGTGATCCGCCCGCTCGGCCTCCCAAAGTGCTGGGATTACAGGCTTGAGCCACCGCGCCCGGCGATGTACTAGTTAAAGACATGTAGTTAGATGTTAAATATATGGGAGAGTGACATCAGCAAGATGGCAGAATAGGAGGTCCCTACTCTAGTTCACCTCAGAGAAACACTGATTATCAACTATCCACAGACAAGAATGCCTTTGTTAAAATCTCAGAACCTGAGATTGAGGCTAAAAAGCACCCCCTTGGCACGTAAAAATGGAGGAAAGCTATATCAGAAGGGTGAGAGGAGAGGTTTCATTTTGTTGTAGCACAGCACCACACCAAAAGGGATCCCAAAACCAATGGTTTCTCTGGTGAAAAAGTGATCCTAAGGTGAACATCAAGCTTCCTCAGTGTTCTAAGCAATTTTAGGTGGGTCTATTTTTGTCTTGCCTCATGGGGAACAATGGGGGAATTGGCAGGGCTAGACAACCTGGGGTCACATAGGAACAGAAAAAGGGGGACACGGTTCACAGTAACCAGTGTGCTGACCTTGATGATGGCACTGCATTCTGCTAGTGACCATGCCCAACCAGAGAGCCCAGCCAGTGGCTTCCTGAAGCCTAATGGTCAGCAAATAGGTTGAATTTGAAGAGGTCTACATCAAGACATATTATAATTAAATTGTCAAAAGCCAAAGAAAAAGAATTTTGAAAGCATCAAAAGAAAAGTGAATTATCATGTACAAGGGACCCTCTTGTAAGACTGACAATGGATTTCTCAGCAGAAATCTTGTAGGCAAGAAAATAATGGTATTATATATTCAAATTATGGAGAGAAAAAAAATCTGCTAACCAAGAATACTGTATCTGGCAAAGCTGTCCTTCAGGAATGAAGGAGACAGAAATACTTTCCCATATAAACAAAAAGCTGAGGGAGCTTATTATTACTAGTTTACTGCCCTACAAGAAATACTTACGGGAGTTCTTCAAGCTAAAATGTAAGGATGCTAATTAACAACATAAAAACATATGAATGTATAAAACTCACTAATAAAAGTAAATATAGTTAGACAAATCTGGAATTTTCTAATATTCTAATGGTGGTAGATAAATCACTTTCAACACTAGTATAAAAGATAAGCGTATTAAAAATTACTATAACTATAATAATTTGTTAATGGGCACACAATACAAAAATGTATAAACCATAATATCAATAATCTAAAATGTAATGGGGAGAAAGTAAAAGTATAGAGTCTTTTTCTTTACTGTTGCCCAGGCTGGAGTTCAGCCGGTGTGATCTCAGCTCACTGCAACCAAGAACCCTCCTGGACTCAAAGCAATCCTCCCTCCTCAGCCTCCAAAGTAGCTGGGACTACGAGTGCACACCACCACACTTGGCTAATATTTTTGTATTTTTTGTAAAGACAGAGTTTCAGCATGTTGCCCAGGCTGGTCTTGAACTCCTGGGCTCCAGCAATCTGCCCACCTTAGCCTCTCAAAGTGCTGGGATTACAGGCATGAGGCACCATACTCAGCCCTTCGTATATGACTGAAGTTAAGTTGTCATCAACTTAAAATAGGATGTTATAGGATGTTTTATTTAAGCCTCATGGTAATCACAAAAGAAAAAACCCTATAGCAGATATGCAGAATATTAAAAGTAAGGAATAAAAGCATACCAGCACAAAAAGTCATCAAATCACAAAAGGAGATGTAAGAGGTGGGTTAAATGGATTGACCTGGGATGTGGCAAAATCTTTAATTTATATTACATTTTTAAAAATCAAGGATGTGTCCCATAAACTTGGATAACTACTCAAAGAATATTTAAAAATATATATAGAGAGAGTCATTCCTTGATATTTGCGGGGGATTGGTCCCTGGACCTCCCACAGATACAAAAATCCATGGGTGCTCAAGTCCTTTACATGAAATGACATAGTAGTTGCATGTAACCTATACACATCCTCCCATATATTTTAAGTCATCTCTAAATTACTTATGATACCTAATACAATGTAAATGCTATGTGTTCAGTACAGATACCACACATGTAAAAAAATATTTTTTGCCTGTGGTTGGTTGAATCTGTAAATGTGGAACCCAGAGATGTGGAGGTCCAACTGTGTAACTAACAAGCTAATAGAGGGAATAATGGAAAAATAAAAATAAGTCAAGAGAAAGGAAGAAGTAAATTTAAAAAGAGAGAATGAAAGCATAACAAGTTGGCAAATAAAGCAATAGTAAATATTGATTTAACTAAAATATAATATTAATTATGGTAAATGTAAATGCAATAAATATTCAAACTAAAACAAAAGATTGTGAGTCTAGATTATAAAATAATATATACTACTTACATGAGACACATCTTAAATATAAATACAGAGAAAAGTTGCAAGCAAAAGGATGGATACATAATACAAGCACAAATGAAAATAAAGCTGGTATAATTAATACCAAGCTAGGTAGAGATTATAGCAAGATACGCCAGCACATTGCAGCATGATAAAGGAGTTAATTCATGAGGAAGATAATCCAGTTCTAAATTTTTATGTTTGTAATAATATAATTTCAAAATATATAAAGCACAGAATGACAAAACTTAATGGAGAAATAAATCCTCACCATAGAGATTACAACATATATCCTTCAGAAATTGCTAGAATAAGCAATCAAAATTTATCAAGAATATTTGAATAATATAATTAACAGACTTAATTTATATAGAGAGAGCACTGATATATGTTTCAGCAAAATTAAAACTTAAAAAAAAATTACCAGGATCTTCCCCTCTGTGGATCATTATGAAATAACTAGCTCTCCTGCCGTAAACAATTATTAAACTGGACAATATATATAAGGCTACTGTTTTCAAGGATTGGACACAACAGAAAGTGCAAGACTCTGATCCTTGAGAGGAGAAAAAGTTATGAAGTAAGCCTAAGGACAATTTTCCAGTCATAGTTTAGGAAGCTAAAGCCCAAGCAGAACACAGTGGTCACACTGAGCTGAGGCAGTTATAGATTAGGGTTCAGTACTGTCGAAATGGCTGGAATCTGATGGGCGTAGTGCCAGTGAGAAGAACGCTGTGTAGGAAGTGAGGCAGAAGTCTATAGGGTCAGGTGGGGGATGCTCTGAGTTCTGAGCCAAGGTTTAGACCACACATGCTCCAAAGCGATGCTACACTAGAAAGTAGCTGCTACAGGACTGAGAGCAGGACAATGGCATTAGAGGTAAAGCAATGCTAGTTGATGTGTCAGTCCAGCTAGAGTGAAGAAACCTCGTAACACCTTGGACAGTAGCTGAGAAACCAGAAAGGCTATACCTCTGAAGTAAATACCACATCCTGGAGTAAGGATTATTCTAGATCTGCACTGTCCAATATGGTAGCCATTAGCAACATGCAGTCACTTAAATTTAAATGAATTAAATTAATAATACTAGAAATTTAGTTCTCTAGTCACACTAGCCATTTTTCAAGTGCTAAATAGTCATACCTGATGAGTCCTATTGTATTGGTGCAGAGGTAGAACATTTCCATCATCACAGAAAGGTCTATTGACAGCACTGCTTTAGATCAATTATTACGATGTGCAAAATCAAACCTACACTAATTCAGGGTCACCTGCATGGAACTGCCTGTTGGAGTAAAATTCAAGATGCTTCAGAGGAATGGAACAGAATCCA